TGCTGGTCAGAATGTGAAACACGCACAGCGCCCTCTGCTGGTCAGAAAGTGAAACACGCACAGCGCCCTCTGCTGGTCATCAGAGGAGAATACGTACACTGCCCCCTGTTGTTCAAACGCGGGGACAAACCAGCAGCGCCCCTTCTGGTCAGGACAAAATCAGGGAAGACATTTTCTATCGACCTTTATTCCCCGTTTAGCCCCGTTTGCTCACTTTTTTCTTCCATTTATCCATCCATCCATCCATTATCTTCCGCTTGTTCTGAAGTTGGGTCGCGGGGGCAGCATCTTGAGCAGGGAGGCCCAGACATCTCTTTCCACAGCCAACTCTTCCAGCTCTTCTGGGAGGATTCCAAGGCATTTCCAGGCCAACCGAGAGACATAATCTCCCCAGCGTGTCCTGGGTCTTTCCCGGGGTCTCCTCCCAGTTGGACATGCTTGAGGGGGCATCCGTACCAGAGGTGAGGGAAGGAATGTAGACCGACCAGTAAACAGAGAGCTTTGTCTTGCAGCTCAGCTCCTCTTCACCACAATGGACCGGCACAGAGTCCACAATACTGCAGATGCTGCATTGATCTGTCAATCTCACGCTCCATTCTTCCCTCATTGTGAACAAAAACCTGAGATACTTGAACTCCTCCACTTGAAGCAGAACCTCACCCTCGACCTGAAGAGAACAATCCACTGTTTTCTAACTGAGGACCACGGCCTCAGATTTGGAGGTGCTGGTTCTCATCCCAGCTGCTTCACACTCGGCTGCAAACCGCTCCAATGAAAGCTGAAGATCACGTGTATTTTTTTAAAAATCATTTTGTACTTCTCAGCTTACACGTTAGTTTAATTTTGGAAAATCAGCACACCTATTTGGAAGACCTGTTAGACAAATCGTCTCAGAAATTTCTCCTTATGTCAGTTTATTTAAAAGTGCTTTAACTGTTTATTGGGGAAATTTTAGTGGGTTTTTTTCCAATAATACTGAAATTACGTTTGGAGTAGGCTGTGTCCTTGTTCAATGTTCAGATGTTAAATGAGCTGAGAATGAATGGAATTTTATTTATTTATTTAACCAAACAAAAGGAATTTCAATCAAAATAACTCATTTTTAAAGAGCAACATTTTTTTCTGAAAGTAAAGTTTCTGAAATCTATTTTTTCTATTCAAATCACACACTTTTTCTAATGAAATGCATAGTTTTATTCATAAAACAGAAACTTTGACTTATTTTGTTACAAAGATCAGGCCGTTCTGCTCACTTTGATATAACATGTGATTATATTGATATATTGATTATATTGATATTGATATTATATCACATGGTGGCACCCAGCTTGTGATAAAACACTTCCATATTTATGGAGAGCAGGGGGTCAAAACTATGCAGATTAGTCTCAAAAGTAGTCAGAGACCAGGATGTTTTGTGCACAAAAACATCTGCACGCAAGTTTGCCAAAAGTACACATTTCAAAATGCACGAGCAGGAATATTCTGCACAAACAAAATGTCAAATACACATGCACAAATCACCTGTTGTGGTCGGATCAGCTTGTCTGTTACTTTAGAGCTTTTCCAGGTTCACAAAGATGCTGCATTCAAGGACTGGTAAACAGCTGGGACATCTGACAGTACCAAATTTACTGAATTATTGGGGAAAAAACTAATTTCTAACTTGGTACAGCAGCTCATAACCGCTATATTCACCCATACTTTCTACAAACTGAACTTTTTCTTCCTGTAGAAAAACTACCGGAAAGATAAATTTACCAGAATAATTTGTTGTGAACTGTTCATTTGTAATTTACTACTCAAAATTATAAGAAATTAGTTTTTTCCCCAATAATTCAGTAAATTTGGTACTGT